TCCCAGGACCAATCACCAGGGCCACGACTGAAACTGACCCTCCAGGGGTTAAGGGTTAGCCCCACAATAGCCACATAGAATCATTTCATTTTAAGAAACAGGAGTTCCACATCCAGAAGCTGAGAGGAAAACGTGAAGGCAGACAAAGCTTAGCTTCCACAGTCCCAGGGCCACTAGGACCGTTGCACAGTTTGCGCACTGTACAAAGGGGACATGGGGCACCTTTTGTGTCTGCCCAGAGGGGGTTCCTTTTTGTCCTTCACACAAGTTGGGCCACACTCTCCTTTCCCCAGCGCCTCAGTCCTGCCTGGAAATTCCCTCTTCATCCTCATGTCCTCGTTCAGGTGCCTACTCCTCTGTGAACTAGCTGGAATGATCCACAGAGTTATGGCGCCTGCCTCAGTCACAGTCCTACAGTTCCGTTGTGATTCCTTATTCTGTCTCCTCACCTGACCTAAGACAGGCTCCACCAGGGCAGGGGTGTGTCCAAGCTGCCCTCTCTGGGTGGAGAAGACGCACAGGTAGGATCCGTCTGGTGGGTGAGAGGGGAACAGAATGGTTCTCCTGGCTGCACAGCCAGTCTCCTAGCCATGGCCGCAGAAGACCAGTACAGAGGGATGTGAGCCCTGCACTTGGGCGATGAGAGGTTGTTGGCCGGACCCGTGCGTCCCTGTCTGTCTCCCTCACCCAGACTCTGGAGACACTGCCCAGAGGAGGGGCCTTGAATGGCACACCCACAGGGCCACCTCTCAAGGCCTCCGGGAGGAAGAAGGTGCTGGGATCCACCTGGGCCTCACTGAGGACTCCAGCTCTTAGCTCCTGATTAAAACCAGACCCAGGAGCTTGGAGCCTTGTGTGAAACTGGATACCTATCAACGCAGGCAAAGGAAATATACTGTGAGAAGGAGGCAGGCTGGCCAGCAGCCCGCAGTGCTGGGCGGGGCAGTGAGGCTGAGCTTTCCTTTTGAATGGCCCCCAGGAGCCTTCGGTATGTGGGGTGATGACAGCCCTGAGAAACGAACCCCCGTGGAGACGAACGCCCCCCCCCTTCTCTGTCACCTTCTCCCCACTTCCCTTCCCTTTGTCTGCTTCTTTTCTTCAGAAATAAAACCTGCATTCAATCCCATTACCAACTTTCATTCATTTGGGGTAAGGTTATGTAACCTCCCTGAGCCTCAGTTTTGTCACCTGTAAAGTGGGGGTGACAGCAGTGTCTTCTTGGCTGCCTTAATGTAGGGTTCACAGTGATGCTGTGTGAAAAGCGCTTAGCACAGGACCTGGAGCACAGTAAGCCCTTATTAAATGTCACCATTATGCGTCCTCCCTCCCTGCTTTTCCATGAAAAGCTATTTGACACCATTAAGCCATAAACACAATCCTTGAGGATCATAGTCAAGGCAACATCTTAGGTCTGTAACGACTGAGGCAGCCGGAAAAGCAGGTGCGCTGGGGTCAGATAGCCAGGGTCGTAATCCCAGCTCTGCCTTTTACAAACTGGGCAACTTCCTCCAAGGTCTGAACCTCAGTGTCCTCATCTGTAAAATGGGGACATTGAGAACACCTGCCCTGCCTGCCTGTGCCCCAGGACTGCTGTGCATCTCACACAGGGACACACGTGAAGGGACACGAAGCTGCCCAGGGCCATGCACCTTGGTGACCAAGATTCAGGCTTACGATGCTGGGACCTCCCTCTGGCTGTATCTTTTCTCTTATTTGGTTCTTCTCTCCTCTTCCAAAATCACGACTCAAATAAACTTCGTGGGGCCATAGAGTTGGAACTGGAAGAGACCTTTGTAACCATTTGTTCGAAATTAAGATTTCCTGGGCTCTGAACCAAACCTAGAGCATCAGAACCTCTTACTTTTTAAACGAAATTTTGTTCTAAATTACAAAAGTAACACAGCTCATTCTAAATGAATTTCAAGAATACCGAAATAATGAGAGGGAAATGCAGCCAATCCTCAGAGGTAACGGCTAACAACAGCTTGGTGCATGTCCTCTAGGGTTTGTGTTTTTCCTGGACAGAACTAACCATATAGTTTTTATTTTTCCCCATTAAACAAGATCATCACTCATTTAAAAAAAATTAATATAACTTGGACATCTTTCCATGTCAATATACGTGCTGTCAACTCTGTGACAGCTGCAGGGAAGTCCATGAGGTGCCTGGCCATGATGACTTAACCATTTCCTGTGGACGTTTTGGGTTTTCCCCAGCCATCCATATGCAGCCAGTCCAGCCTCTGTCCACATCTGGCCACCTCTGCTCTGCACAGGTGGGCAGGTGAAGGCTCAGGGAGGGGATGCAAGCAGGGCATGGCCACAGCGAGGTAGTGGCAGAGCTGGGCCTCGCTGTTCCTGTGTGCTCTCTGCATCAAAGTATACCACCACATTTATTCTTTTTTTTTTTTTTTGAGAACTGAATATTTTTCTGAGCCTATTCCTGAGAGCAGGGAAGAGAAAAAAAATAATGTTAATTTTATTTTGTGTGTGTCTGACAATTGGATTTTTCCCCCCAAACTTTCTCAGAGTTTTCACTTTTCATTATGCTCTTTGTAAGAGTTCATGACTCAATATATTTTCCCTACACATTGTTTCTGAAACCAGCATTTTTTTTTATGCTAGAATCCCAAAATCCCACTTGCCCTGAGTCTGACTATTCTGAGAGACCTTGGTCAAATTCTACTTTAGAGACCCCAAACCCCTCCCCTTCCACTCACCATAATTGATGAGTTTCCTCCCTTGTGGAAACAAATGGAATTATAAAATTGTGACTGTCATCTATTTTTTTATTAAGTAAATTTCTCCAAGCTCTGTAGGAAACTTTCCCAGAAAGATAAATTACCCACTTGTAACAAATATAACGTGTAATGCTTGCAGAATCCTTGTGAGGATTGGCTCTTTGCCCAGGAATTATGCTTAATATTCCTCCCAAAGAATAGAACATCAAGCCTGCCTCCCATCAGGTAAGAGGTTTGATTGGAAGTGACCACTGCCCATCAAGTCACATCGTCTTTAAAGCAGCTGCTGCCCCTCAGAGCTTGGTGCTGAGCTGCAGACAAGTTTCCAAGTGACTGCCTCCACCTCCGTCCCCTGCCACAAAGGGGCTGGTTAGAAACTGCTCAGATTTCTAAGTGACAAGGAAGAGATGTCATTCTCGGACAGCTGATGAGTGTTGGTAACATTTGAATGTTACTTAGCATTGCCTTGGGCAAAAGAGAGAGAACAAAAGGCTACAGTGTAACTCTTTTTTCTGTGACCTGCCTCTTGGGTCCTAAAGCTCTGGCTTCTATCTTAGCATCTAAAGTAGACCCCTCTCCCAGCCCCTAAAAGGACTGGGCTCCTTGGAGAAATGGCTGGCTCCCGTCCCGTCTGTCTGTTCAGTCTGTCCAGAGCAGCAAATGTACAGCATGAGACTGGGGCATCTTTTCATGTCAAATGGCAAGGAAGCTCTCAAAGACAATGAGGGTCCTGCCAGAGGACACGATGGCCACTCTGAAGAGGCCCCCACTGGCCAAAGGCAGGCCCCTTCTAACATCCACAGGATAGTAACTGCAGTGTGCTGAAGCATATCAAATATGTTTCCATCCACAAATTCATAATGACATTCAAAAAAGAACAAACTGAAAACAAACAAACCCCACAAAAATGCACTGGTCCTTTTCGAAGGATGCCAGGAGAACCAGTTCTTTACTTTAAAAACTAGTAAATACAGGGCAAGAATCGAACATTTATTCCGCCTTTGATATATACACTGTACCTCAGGCTGACCACCTAGTGGGTGAGGGGAGGTATCTCCTAAGTGCCCCATGATTAAAGTGGGGCTCCGGGCTGCAGAGGTGTGAGGAGTCAGGTAAACGCGTCCTTTCATTCAAGTGCTGATGCCTGGGCCTGAGGTGTCTGCCCCATCAGAGTCTGCCCCATCTGAGGGTCACCTCCTGGCTTCGTCCATGCCCAACACTGCTGGTCAGCCGACTCTCTGGCTTTGCCAAGAGCCTATGTGCCTAGGATGGCAAGGAGATGCCCAAGAAGCCAGGTGGGCAAACTGAATGGGGGCAGGAGCAATGGTGGGGTCCACGGGGAGGCTGAGGGTGGTTCCGCTGAAAAGGGGGAAGCTCCCAGGCCAGTTGTTGCGTGGTGGGAATGTAGGCCCAGGGTTGCCAGATTCCCCAAGTTTTCTATTAAAGAAACCCAGATTTTCATGTGAAATCTGGTTTTCAAAAGTAAAAGTTGGCAACTGCAGGTTGTCCACTTGCATATTCAGACCCATTCTCTGACTGGTTGTGTCCTGGGAAGGTGGCTTTTGTGGACAGCACCTCCCCCCCCACACACACACACACCCTCGCCATCTGGATTCCAGCTGGGTTTGGCCAAAGGGCAGAATAGGTAGATCAGAGACTGAAAGGTGTCAGACCAGGATCCTTAGCCCCTAGTTCCAAGCCAAGCCAGACAAACCCCCATCCACCCACCCACATACGCATCCACTGGGGCCATGTTTCGGCTGTGGCTATGTGTGTGCTGCCACAGCTCCTACAGGGAGGTCCCTCTTCCAGGCTACAGCGCCTGTGGGCTGGTGACCCCTCTGTCTTAAAGCCTGGGGGGCTAACGGCTCTGCGGCCGCTAGTCCAAATGTCTCCCACCGTTTGTTGGCTCTCTTTGTCCGTCCTGTCCATGTAAACGGTCCCTTCATTCTGAGCTCTCCCAACGTTACCCCTTTTGAACGTGCCCTCCAATTCCTGCTGGGAACCAACATGCCAACTCATTCAATTGAAAATCAGCACACTGAGGTTCAGACATACCTGGATCTGCAGCCTGGACCCAGTTGGAGAGAGCCCAGCTGGCCAGCCCCACTGGAGCGCCGAGCACGGCACCTGGCAGCAGGCAGAGGCTGGACGCACAGCCCAGGCCAGCACAGTGCCCAGGACGGGACAGCAGGCACACACAGACCCCGTGTGGGAAACAAGAGACAGGGCAAAGAAGGGAGACGCCTGAGACGTGTCCAACCAGTTTAATGACGGGTGAAAGCGAGCAAGTGCCCTGGAGCACTGGCCTGGGGCAGAGGGAAGCACTACAACGCAGGCAGGTGTGGGGAAAGCGGGGTCACCTAATGTCGACTTGGGGAGGGGCGTCCACTGGCAGCTCGGACCTATGACATTCCTTGGGGGGACATGCATCGCACCCCCATAGCAGGAGCAAGCCGGCTGCCTTCACTCCCGAACATAAATTCTTGTGCAGACCACGTCATCGGCGCCAAACGTCTGCAGAAAAGAAGGAAAACCAATCAGGGCAGATGCCTGTACACAAATGTTTAAAGCATATCGCTAATAAGGCCACTTACTGGCCTGTTAAAAACGCTTTCAAACAGACATTCAATTTCCTGTACCATGTGCTCGTGCTAAGTAAGTGCTAAGGGTTTTCTTTCTTCTTTTCTCCCTTAAGCGCCACACTGGCAACCAGGGTATAGAATTAGGTTATATGCAGTTTTCCTTCTGGAACCTGTGAATGCTGACATAAGAAATGCAAGTTTCCTGGCTTTGCTTTTGAAATTAAACTGAAAGGAGGAGAATGTCACATTGGACATTTCTGAAGTGGTTTCTGTTTCTTTTCAAATGACTTCAAGAGAGCAAGGGGTTGGGCAGCTGGAGCCCTGGGTCCCAACGCTGACCAGCCAAACGGAATCGCCTCGGAGGGGTGCAGAGGCCTTTCAGGGAGCAGCTGTGCAGCTCGGAGACCATTTGAGATGCTGGAGAAGTAACACTCAGGTCACCCACAAGCTAGAAAACTGGTCTCAGCTACAAAGCCCCAGTGGGTGAGCGGGGGCTCCGGTCCCCTCCTGACAAGTTTGTGGCTGGAGGAGGAGGGAGGGGCAGGGTGGAACTGAACAGGATGATTCCAAAGGCTCTTTGCAGCTAAAATCTGTGGCTCTTTGTTTGTTTGCTGTGGGAAGGATGGATTTCTTCTGACCCCTGAAATGGTATCGCCCATAAGTAAGCTGTCTCCACGCTCCCCAAACCCTGGGCTTTCACAGGCAGCTGGAACAGGGAAAGCAAGATGTATGTTAAAAAGCAAAACCAGAAAGCAAGAAGTCCCCATGCTGTGGGCCTGACGTGCGTGTGCATGTGCAGACGGACATTTTTCTGCAGAGGGTCCCTGTCTTTCAGATTCTCAGAGGGGCCCGAGGCCCCAGCGGGGTTAAGGGCCCTGGACTTAGAGCTTGGAGCTACTGGAATCTTCAGCTCCTTGCCGGATCCCTCAGTGGATCATGGGATGCTGTCAGAGTATGTGAGCTAGGACGTCATCCCAGGGAACACGAAGTCGTTCGTGCTCATCCCTGCTGCTCTTCCAAGGAGGGAGCTCCCGGTCATACGGACACAGTTATACCTGCTTTGTTCTCCTCTAGTTTCTGCATTAGTGAGGGAAGCACGCAGCTCTGTGTGCCGGGGAGGGGAGCAGGAGTTTCCACCGATGTTCACCCCTCAGACTTCTGGACCTCTCAGAACCAAGTCAGTTTTCCAAAACTCTGCAAGCTCTACAGCCAGGGAGTGTCAACTGGAATGCCATCATTAGGGACTGGCCTCTTTACCTGCCCTGTAATGACACCTCAGCCAGGCCAACAGATGACTTCAGGACACAAGAAGAAACTGCCATGTTTCCGACCACATTTAGAATGTTCTTCTCAGCCAGCAAACTACGCTGGAAGCTCCGGAAAGAAACTGTGGGATGTTTCAGAGTGGTTGAAGGGCAGATACTCAGTTTTTCCAAAGAAAGCAACTTACAGCCCGAGGGCGATGTACTGTTGGCACTGGGACAGCTTATTTCAATGTCACTAGAATTAATTTGCCTCTTGTCATACGGAGCCAGCATTTCCCTACGTTTGAACTTCCTAACGATGATAACCCTTGAAACACAAGCCTGCGTCAGACCCCAGATGCCCAGGGTCAAGGCTCCCTTTGAGGCTCGTGCACTCGGCCAAGCAAGGGGGGTTTGGAAATGGTCCTCCTGGCGGAGCTGGGCTGGGCTGTGGCTGCCCCGACACTACAGAGCCTGATAAAGTCACACTTTGTCAAAGAGCAAACCGAGCCTACATGGCCCTCCACCATGCTCAGGAACTCTAAAACATCCTCCTTCTTTGTTAACTGTGGTACCAGCGAACCATATACGCGTTTTCTCCCTAAATGTCCATGTCACAGCCTCAACTTGCTCCCCCAACTCTGCCAGGTGTTCCCTGCCTGGAAACAACACTCTCCAGGTCGCCAGCAAAGCCTTCTCTTTCTCTTTCTCCAGGTCGCTTTCTCTGGGAGGAGAAGCATGTGAAGACACTGCAGGGGTGGCCGGGGGAGAGAGCGAGCAGGCAGCCGCGGCTAAAGTTACAGGCAGCTCGACTTAGGGTCTTCTCGCAGGAGAAACCTGTCATTTCAGGGCTGAGAGGGACCTCAGGGGTCAGACTTCATCTTACAGCTTGGAAGGGAAGGGCCGTGGCCAGGTCACACAGCAAGTTCTGCCTAGTACACCCGCCATCCCCTCTCCCAGCATTTCAAGGCAACATTGCAAAGATGGGGCAAGCAGGCAGTCTTAGAGGGGAGATGTGAACATGCCTGACAGCACGAAGGGGATCATTTCCTGGTTACCCATAACAGCTTTTCCCTTTCTAGTGGGGGGAGAAGGGAGCTGCAGGGAAAGGGCGGTCGGTTCTGAAAACACAGGGAGAGTGACATGGGGTGTCCTGCCCTCCCTGTCGTCCTTTGCTCCCACACCTAAAATAAAGGGAGAGGAGATGTGCGATTAAACTACAGGGGTTTCCACCTTGGCCTCTCCAGGTAAACGTTGTGTGGCCAGGACTGTTTAGAATGTTCTGATCTGAATATTTTTCAGGTAGAGCCCACCCTCCCCGGTCTAAAGGCCGCACTGCCATGCTGTGTCACACTCAGATACTTCCCAAATAAGCACAACTGGCCTGGCTCCCAAAGGTCAATGGAGTGTCTCAGTCCGGGGGTAGAAATGCTCCCTAAGGCTCCCAGTGCTGACGTGCTAGAATTTCTGAAATCTTTCCCAGGCAGCAAAATGGGGAAATGAGGAGGGACCAAAATGAGCCCTGGGACCTCACGAAGCGCAAGCATTCTGAGCCAGGGCAGGGAGGCTGGCCGAGATCAAGTCAGCTGACCCCATCACTGCAGGGATGACAGGTCAGTCTGGATGGTGGCAGCTGTGCAGCCGCCTTTCCCCCCTCCTCTGCCCTTGGAGCCACTGCTATCTCCTGCCAACCACCGAGCAGCGATTTCCTCTGACCTAAGCTGTCATCGTGGGTTTTCTGCTCACATGTTAACCCAGGGCAGTGTCCCTCTCCGAATGGAAGAGGGGGGACGACATTTGTGTGGCCCACTGCGGGTGTCATCTAGGGAATCGGGTCCAGGGCCCTCACCAGGATGAGCTCGTCATTGGCCAGCTCCCGGGTCCAGTAGGTTTTGGGGCCGTCCCCCTCGAGGAGAGTTTGTGTGCAGTGGATCTTGTTCTCGCTCTCCCAAGTGGCTAAACTCTGCGGGCGGGAAAACCATGGATTACAACCTTGGCAGCAGACACACAGCACCGGGGGAACCACATGGGCATAAATACACCTGGTACTGCACACACCCACACACGCGCTCAGCATAGCGCCACAGCCTTGGGGCAGGCTGTACGTCTCCAGGAATAAAGCTGAGAGCATGCAATGGCTTGTGTACAGCAGAGTGGAACACCCGTCAAGCAACTAGATGTTACCTGCAAGAGGCTTCACATCAGAGCTACAAGATTTTACAGCGGCTAAGAGTAACGACGTCCTTGTCAGGTCAGGAGCTCTGCTCCGTGCATGGACTTGGGGATAACGCCTTCCCTTCTGGCTTGCATGCATCAACCCACTCTGATAAACCTGGGTGTCTCTGGCTCTGAGGGTAAAAACTCTGCCACTTTCCAGGTTACCATCCTTCTAGAAAAAGTTTTTAAAAACCAAACCAAACAATCTGATGGGTCTTCATGCTGTTGGAGGTGGGAGGCAAAGAGGGGACTCCTTGCGGTGTCCCCAGTGTCCACCTAACACAAAGCTGCAAGGGAGGCCCTCGGACCCAGGAAAGAGCGGCATTGGGTGAGGCTGGCGACCCAGGACAACCAGTGCCTACTCACTCAACTCCCCGGATGCATCATCGGGCACGGCGGGGACAGAGCCCCACTCTCTGGGCTATCCTGCAAGCCTCTGATTTTTATCAGAATTACCATCTCTGGCAGCAGCCACCATTGGATGCTTTCCTGCTTCACCTCCCAGCCCTTCTCTGTACTGCCGCTGCTGTTCTGCTCTTCTGTTTTAACAATCAGTGTTGTGACAGGGGCTCGGATCCCGCCAGCTCCAAGCCTGGACATCATTTTCAGGCTGTGCCAACTCTGGGGGCCAAATACCGCTATGCGGGTCAGTGTGCTCCTAGGGGCAGCGTCACTGTGTCCTCGTCCCAAGCCCAGTGCTCAGAGATCCCACTCTGTGCATCACACAGGCCCCACTGGGGAAAGGTGAAAACAGTTTCTCACTCTGGAATGTTACTAGTTTTCGAGTTGTTAAACACTGGGGAAAGCGAAGGAGACATTTTGTCACTTTTTAAATAAACGGAAGCAGCCTTCTTCCATCTGTCCTCAAAACACACGAGTAACCAGCCCTGCATTCCACTCCAGAGAGATCAACCAAACGCTAACATGCCCATCGGAAAAAAGGAATGCACATCCCCTTGCTTCAGTCCCGCCTTCACCACGGGCTGAGATCCTGAGAAATACAAAACGCTTGCCCTTGAGGCGTCAGAGAGGGCACCTCGTCCATTTCGCAGCGGGAATCTGCCTTGCTTTTTGGAAAGATTCCGCCGTGCCTGTAAGGAGCCAGGCTGAAGGCGGGCGGGAGGGCGGGAGAGGCGTGGGGGCCCTCATGGCTGCTGAAACTGGACCCACAGTGTCCCCAGGAGCCCAGGGACCCGGGGGGCGGGACACAAGAGCTGCCGATCCACCTGCGACAGGAAACGTGGCGGCTCTGCCACCTCCTGCGCCCGCGCCGCCCGCGCCCGGGTCACCGCAAAGCGCTGCAGAAGCCCCGCCAGGAGCGCGGCGCGCGGCGCTTAGCACCTGGGGAGGCGGCTTAGGGAGGGAACTGGCAGAGAAGGGGCAGGACTCTCTCTCTCTCTCGAGCCCAGGGCTTCCCGGCTTTGGGCTCACCCGGCACTTGCGTCCGTCCACCGTCTCCTCCTCAAAGCCTTCTCCGACCTTGAAGTTGATCTCGGTGGTGCGCACAGTGGTGGATGTCTTGATGTAGAACTGGTCCCCGTCCTGGCGGATCTCCACGTGCGGCTTGGACGCAGCCGCCACGGCCACCTTCCGCAGCATGGCGTTCACACCTGCCGGGAAGCACGCGCGCGCCCCGCTCTGGTCCCAGGGCTGGGGGCACCTCCCACGCCTCCTGACTGCAGGTAGGGGCCTCAAAACCCAGCCGCTCCTCCCTCGGCCCTCGCCCCGATTTTCCAGGTAAGAAACTCAGAGCGGGTACGTGGCTTTCCCGGAGAAGCCCAGTGAATTCGTGGCAGGGGCCGGTCTCAAACTGAGTCTTCACATGTCAAGTCCCTGACCCTCCCCGGTCCCCAGTAATATCTCCTCGCGATGATCCAAGCACGAGATAAAGGCGGAGCCGTCGGGGAAAGCGCCCCGCGTCCAGCCAACGTGCGCCGGACTCGCGGGTGGCGGGCTCCCCTCGCCGCTCCTAGGTGGGGTGCGCCTCGGAATGCGCCGCCATCTGTCGCCCCGGGGCCTCCCTCGTGCCGGGGTCTTTCCCCAAAGCCACCCCCCCTACGGGCCCGGGGCTTACCCAGGGCCTTCAGGAGCTCGTCGAAGTTCTCGCTGCTGCGCATCTTCCAGGTGCCGGCGAAGTTGGGCATGCTGGCGGCGGCGATTGCGGGGACGGCGGCGGGAAGGCGGAGGGTGCGCTCGGAGCTGCACAGCCGAGACTGCGCTCTGTGCCCAGCGCGCGCCCCGAGTCACCGAGACAGCGCCCCCCACCCGGCGCGCTCCAGCCCCGCCCCCGGCCCCGCCTCTCCTGCCCCTGCCCGGCGGGAGCCCAGCCCCCAGCCCCTGTGCCCCCACGGCGCGCTCGCCTTCCGGCTCTCCAGGGCGCAGGCCTGGCACTCGCGCTCCTCCAGCTGGGGGTGGGGGTGCTTCTGCCACCCCCCACCCACCCACCCCAGACCACCCTTCTTAAAGTGGATTGTGGGAGAGGGTTAAAGGAAACAAGGTTGGCCCCGAGGGGTAATTGTGGAAGCTAGGCGGTGGGGACTTGGGGAAGCCTTACACCATTCTCTCCACTTGTGTGATGTTTGAGAATATCCAAAATGTAAAGTAAAAATGGGTAGTGGGGCCGCCAGGGAATGGGAGACGCTCTCTCACTCCCAGCGGACCCTTTCTGTTCCCAGTTGGGGATCCCACCCTACTCCTCACGCCTGCGCAGAACCAATGGGAGCGAGAAGTGGAAAAGCCCCATCCCCCCCGCCCCCCAACACCCCCTCAACACCCTCCTGGCCGCCTCTGCAGGAATCCAGCATTGCGAGATTGTGGGTCCCCTCGTTTGCAGGGCAGGGGAAAGAACAGCTTGTGCCAAGACAGAGCTGTGTGTTTGGGGGAACCACGTGTCTCAGCGTGGCTGGAGCTGCATTCTCCAAGGAGGGTGGGGCAGGAGGTGACAGGAGGTGAGCAGAAGCCACCCACGAAGGGCACAGGGCTGTGAAGGCACCGAGAAGGGCTTTAAGCAGAGGTGAGCCGTGGTCCTGTTGCATTTTGTAAAGTTGGCACTGCTTCAATGTGGAGAGTGGGTAGGAGGGGGCACACATTGCCAGGGGCGCGGGAGGGGTCCTTGCCCTGCGTTGGCAATCCTGGTGCTGTTGGTAGTGAAGGCGGGAAGGGGACTGGTTAGAGAATAGTTGCTCCCCAATGCCAGTCTGTGATGTGAACCAGGCATCATAGCAACCTGTTCCTCAACGCCAATCTGTGATGTGAACCAGGCATCATAGCAACCTGGGCACGTGTTCTCTAAATTCAGACTCTCAGGCCCCAGCCCTGGAGATTTCTGTTCAGTAAGTCAGGGGCAGGGCCTGGGAAGCTGTTTTGCAAGCTTTGCAGATGATGCTCCTTGTACAGCCAGCTGGGCCCTCCAGTATTCTATGACGGGCTGTACCTGCAAGGGAGGAGGACATGGGAGCAAGAGGCCAGTTTGACTCCAGGTTTCTGGCTTCGTAGGTGGGGAGAAAACGAAGGGGCTCGAGGCCTGGACGTCCTGTGAGGTTGAAGGAAGCGTGTAACGGAAGGGGGGGGGGACGCAGCGCAGAGCAGCAGGAAGGTGAGAGTGGTCAGAACTCAAGACCCTGGAGCTCAGGATAATGACGAAGCTAGTGTGCTTTATGACTCTTAAAGAGGGCCGTTTGGCGTACAGCTTTCCTGAACTTATGAGTCTGTGCCTGGTGTTCTGCAGGACCCACTGTGCTCATTTCCACTGAGAGGCGGTGGGAGCCATGGACGAGACTTCTAAGGAAAACAGCGACTTGGTCAGGTTGCATTTTAAACAGATCCCGCTGGTGGCCTGTGTGGAGGGTGAATTGAAGGACGTGAGGAGCTGATGCCTGGAAACGGACCAGGTGTCTACTGCAGGAGTCCAGGCAAGAGATAAAGGGGGCTCGAGCTTGAGGAGGGGTCAGGTTGAAAAACACTTAGTACGGTCAGTAGGACACGGTGACTGATTTGACGCTGGCGGCGAAGGAGAAGGATTCACACGTGCTGGGTTTCCGGCTGAGAGGTGGCCGGGAAGGTGAGACCACCAATCCATGTGTGCCAGAGAGTTTCATGGGAAGGACACTGGATCCCACAGCTTTGAGCTTCACAGGGACATACACATGCACCTGTTCAGAGTGTGACATTCAGTGAGACTAGGAGGCAGCATTCTGGAAGGCTCTAGGATGAGGGGAGTCGGTGTGCCCTAGTATAGGGACTCCAGGGAGTAGAGACCGAGCTTGGAATGGGACGCAGGTGTGGTATATGGACCACAGTTGAATTGGGGGTACCTCAGGCTGCAGAGTGGAGCTCTGCTGGGGCTGCAGGGGGCCTGGTGACAGGGACTTGGAGTTCCAAATGGAATTCTGGTGACACGTAGTCTGAGGGGTTGACAGTGCCCTGCCTGGGTGGCCAACAAGGGGAGTCACACTCCACTTAGTCCAAGGAGATGGCCCCGGCACCGGCAGGCAAGCAGGCAAAGGTGGCTTCTGGGCTGGACGCATCTGCGCTGTCAATCAGTCCTCCATCTGGGGTTCTGGCACATTCCCAGGGTGCCCTGTGTGTGTGTTACACGCTCCCACACATGGGCTTACGGTCAGGGTTCCCTTTGGATTTGGGCGAGAACATCGGCCTTTGACTATCTAGAGCAGCGGTTCTCAACCTGTGGGTCGCGACCCCTTTGGGGGGTCGAACAACCCTTTCACAGGGGTTGCCTAAGACCATCGGAAAACAAAAAGATATTTACATTATGATTCATAACAGTAGCAAAATGACAGTTATAGAGTAACAACGAAAATCATTTTATGGTTGGGGGTCACCACAACATGAGGAACTGTATTAAGGGGTCGCGGCATTAGGAAGGTTGAGAACCGCTGATCTAGAGCATAAAGACTCCTGGAACGTAAGACCCATGAGTAGATTCACTCACTCGCCCAGGGCTTTTAGAGGGAATTCCCTGGGCCAGGCGTGGGGTTCAGAGAAGGGATATGGCCTCCAAACTAACAGGCTGCACCAGCTCAAGTTTGGGACGCTGTGTAAGGCTATGAAGGGGGGCAGGAAGCACTTTGGCAGCCCAGGAAGGGCATTTAACTTCTGGGACATTGTACTTCCCCCAGCAGGTGACATTAAGCTTGGGGGGGGGGACAGGGGTGGTTAACGGGGATCTCTCGGCAGGCAGAGAGGAAGGGCCTTCTGGGCAGGAAGCGTCAGAGGGCTGGAGCCTGGCCGGCTCTGAGCCCCTGACAGCTCCAGTGGGAAACAAATCTGCAAGGAGCTCCCTGTGGAAGGGGCTCCCCTCAGCGTCAGGTGGCCTCACCTTAGGAACAGGGGACCCCAGAGCCCAGGCCACAGTGGCTGTCATCAGCTGGCTGCAGTTGTCTATGGGGATGGCCGATTTCTGGTGCCCGTCCCCCATGTGCATTTCTCAGAGGCGGGAGCTGGGCCTGGGCCCTCTCTCCAAGACCCCTTTGTTCTCTGGCTGGCAGCTCCCGCCTTGCCTTTGCAGACCCCATGCTGCCAGCTCCTCCCAGGCCACTGACCTGCTTCCTTGCTGTCCCCGTCGGGGGACATTTCTGCTGAGGTTTGCTTCTTCTGCCTGGAGGCACGCCAGTGCCTCAGCCTCCCAGGGCCTGCTGGCCTGGCCCCATGCCCTTAGGCCAGCTGAATTCATACTGGAAGAATGGAGGTCAGAGTTCAGTCCCCAAAGCCGGGGGCTCTGAAGAGGGTCCCAGTGGGGGTCTTCAGGACGCAGTAATGGGGGCTGGGGTCACTGTGCCAGGACAATCTGGGAGTCAGCAGCATAGGACAAAGAAGAGCTGGAGCCCTGCGGAAGACAGGATGGGGCGCACCGGCCCTACTGGGGGGGCTTCTAGGTTAATGCGACGGAAGGAGCACTGGACTGGGAGTCAGACGGCCGGCAGCGCAGGGCCCTGTAGAAGGGGCTCCCGTCGGCGTCAGGTGGACCCCAGAGTCATTCCCACAGTAGGATGAATACAAGTAGCTGACATTACTGAGCTTTACTATGCCAGGCCGGCAGTGAGTGCTTCACAAGCGTTCACGCGTCCATCCGTCTGTCCATCTATCCTTTACCACTGCCCTGGCAGTGGTCCTCATGACAGAGGAGGACACAGCCCAAGCTCAGTCAGCTGGTGAAGACAGAGCTGGGGGTGAACCCAGGTGGGGGCCCCAGATCTTGCTCTTACCACCCTCCCTGCGGAGGACCTAGAGACCCAGAGAGTGGCCCCAGGTCACACTGCAGAGCAGGGTGGAGCCCTCATCGCTTGCCCGCCAGTCCCAGGGATCCTGAGGTCTCTGGCCACCTGATTGCTAATGAGGACAACCCTGCTCAAAACCAGGACCAGAGAAAGGGGTGTGGCAGGTCCAATGCCTGTCCACCTGGGCCAGTCCTGGATCCCCTGCTGTCCGGGTTTGTGTGGGACCCAGGGGTTTCCCGGACGTGGGACTCTGGTGAAATGGAAGTGCTCTGGGCACAAAGGGACGAGTTGGTCTCCCTGTTTCCAGTATCTAACTGTTTGGATACGCGTGCTCCGTGATTGGGCTTTTTGCGCACGTGTCCTCCATTTTCTCATACACGTCTGCAGACTGTGTGCACTCCGTGTGCATGTCTGAGCCGGACTGTGTCTCCATCTCTGCGTGGTGCATCTGCATGCTCGGGGATGTCTGAACCTCCCTGCCCGTGACCTGCGTCAGGGGCAGGTGTTCTCCGGGTGGCCCTGGCCCGTCATATGTGCCCCTGCAGTGAGCCTGTTGCCAGGCTGGCCCTCCTGGCTGAGCCGCCCTCTCCTCTCTCACCACTGCCCACTGATGTTCTTCCTCAGTCCCGCCCCTCCACCCTCAGGCCTCCCAGCCCGGAACCTTCACTGGCCCTGTCCATCCCTCAGTCAGTGCAGCCTCCAGACTCCTGTGCTGCTGTGACCCTGCACTGCGAGCTCAGCGCTCCAGGTGCCGGCACATGTGTCTTCCCTCTTCCCAGCTTTTCCCTCTTGGCACCCTCCATCCTGTGTGAGTTCTTTCTGCCTCTCCCCTACACCCCACATCTCTGCACCCCACACTTGCCCCCAACCCCTGTTCTCGAAGTCTCACCTCAACATCCCCTCTCTGTGAGTCCTTCCTGGTCTCCCAGGTGCCAGGTGGAGTCCAGCATCTCCTCCTGCCCCCCCCCACCCCTGCAGCCTTGGGTGAGTTTCACCAT